CCGGAAATTTCTTTCTTACGAATTCGTCCTAATTTACGAATTGGCAAAAGGAAGAAAAGAGGCAATTTTTTGGTTCGTTTTTGATCATTTTTGTTAGTTCGCATCAGTTCGCATTGAATTACGAATTAGCTGCGAATTCTCAAAACAATGGTAAAATGCGAATTGGTGCATCGTTTTTAACCCAAAAATTGCGATTCGTCAATTCGTCTTTAGACACTTTGTCCACACTAATGGTCTGCGTTTGATTACTAATCGAGGCAGGTCACTTTGTTGACATGCGCATAGAGGAAGAAGAGACGATACAAACAAAATGGTAAAGAAGAGGGCAAAACAACAACAGTACAAATATTGATACACAAACAGTATCATTAGTCTCACATTTGAATAAAGAGTTTGAGAGCATCGTTAAAAGCAGAGAAAGACGGTTCTGACACTATATGCTTCATTGGTAGAGGATTCTAGACATTAAGGGTTCTCTAGACATTAAGGGTTCTCCAGAAAAAAGGGACTGGACTGTCTCATTGGTGGTAAAAAGTACTTCTACTGTTTGGGAATTCTTGCTAAGACGAAGTGATCTCGTGTTCCTAACTGCAGTTATATAGTCTTGATGATTGAGAAGAGAAAGGTTGTTGTGTAATTTGTAAAAAGAGACAAGGCGAAAATAGCACCTACACACTATAGGATTAGGCAGTCGGTGCTAGGTCAATTGATCGTAGGTCTTTTCGTCGCGATCATTTAGTCGCCGATCTTTTCGTCACACGGACATTTAGTCGCATCACTTTCGTTGCGCGAAATCCGTAGCCAGATTTGTATGACAGCGTCCTTTAAACTGACAAACACAAGAAATAAGTAAAGTGCCGGTAATTGGTCGGCATAAACTTACCTTTGGAAGTCAGTCAATTTAAATTTATCACCGAAACAAATAAGATACATTATTCATTTTATTGTCTTTAACACAAAGAACTTTTACCAAAACTCAACTCTCTTTTGAATGACGACTTATTCTCAAACGGAAACGAGTTCATTAAATGCTGAATGTATACTGTGTAATCATTAAGCGTGCAACATCAACAACATCAAATCTTTTATGTCATCTGGAACATCAACATCCTAACGAATATAAACTTATAAGTAAATTATCCAAACGGTCATTCAATAATCCAATACGTCTTCCACTCAATAGTGAACGTGATGAACAATTAACACGTCTTGCAGTTGAATTTATTAAATATGATCTTCTTCCGTTAACTACTATCGAAAGTCCCAAATTACAGACTATTTTTCATCAAACTGAACCTTCATGTAACTTACCAAAATGAAAATATCTAATGACAAATATATTAGTGAGGGGTGGGGGAATATCCTGTTTTGGAATACTGTTGAAATTTCCAAAATTTCCCTACACCCATTTATCTTTTAGTTTCTATGCTTTTCGAAAATAATAAAAACTATCTAGCATCTTATTTGTGTTTCTGGAACTTTCCATCCTTTCAGCTTTCCATCCTGACAGCTTTCCATCTTTTTGATTGTTCATCCTGTCAGCTTTTTATTCTTTCAGCTTTTCATCCCTTCAGCTTTTCATCCTGTCAGCTCTCGATCCCATCAGCTTTTTACCTTTTCAACTTTTCGTCGTTTCAAGTATTCATCCTTTCACCCTCATCCGTACCTCAACCACTCCTCTACGTTAACAAACAATTGCGTGGCTTTATTCGTTATCTCCGCGATTCCTGTGCATAAGGTCTGCGGTTCAAATCCGCACACACGAGAAAGCTTTTTGTAAGCACAATTTCCTTCTCTTATATATTCATAAAAAACTAACTATATATATAACTTGAAAGAACAGCTCAAAAAAGGAGAGTATATCCGTAACCTAATGACTTTCGGAGCTTCGAAAGTTCTTTATTCTCATTCTACGTGGAAACTTGAATCTAATTACGTCAATCAAATATTACATGACCTTGGAAAATTTTAGCTTTTAACCGATAGCAAAAATTCTTCATCACTGCCTGCCAAATGCAGCAACTATTTTTAAAGCAGAGATTAAGTCAATATTTTTTGTGTCGTTAGGCTCGTCACATCTGCATGAAAAAAGTGACGTAGCCGGTTTTCTAGAATTTGCTTCTTGATTGAGATATAAGCATTGCATATCACCGGAATAAAAGCAAAGTTGGTTTTGAGTTGGTGAAAAGTGCTTTTTCGTATCCAACACACTCGATAACCCCGAAGATTTCCTATTTTTGGCGAGGTGTACTTCCAAAAGTTTAGGAAAAATTTTGAAATTGATATTATCATGAAAGCTTTTTTGGGCCGTTTTGTTTCAAGATTTTTGCTAGACTTTTGGAAGTACCCCCCGCCAAAAACAGACAATCTTCTGGATTATCGGGTGTACCGAATACGAAAGCATTCTTCAGCAACTCAAAACCAACTTTATTTTTTGGTTCCGCTGATATATTTTTGTACCCTCTGCGTAAACGGACGCCCCATCCTTTATTTTGAAGGAAAGTTTTGATTCAAATTGAGTTTCATAGTCTTCGCATAGGTTAGAAAGTACACCGACTCAAAACACACGTTGAGACGCAGGACGCAAGACACAATAAGACAGAGATGTCTAAAAGCTAACGGATAGTGTACTGTGCGAAAGGCTAAAGTGACGCTTTCTGTTGTTCTGAGATATTGTGGTCTCTTTTACCTTGGAGAATATCTAGACATTTTAGTTTCTTGATATTGTAGATTTTACGTGACAATGAGAGAGA